CCATGTTGTTCACGAAGCCTAGTCAAGACCCCAATAGCAGTAGTGATGTAAATAATACTTTCATCTTTAGTAGGATGCACAAATATCTATAAAAAGAAGATATTGTTCTGCAATCATGGCTCCAAAAGAGGAGAATTTTAAATTAGTTGAGAAATTGATCCATCAAGAAATCCAATTTATTTGTTTCATTTATCACCAGGATCATGGATCTCTCTAAAGTAAAGTTATTGATCTCTACAGGAGACTAAAAGACAATATATTGAACCCAATTTTCTGATGGGTTGATAAATATGAGAACTCATCATATCGGAGATCACAATGGTGCCATAGAAAACTCCACCACCATTTTTTGACAGAACCTTGAGTACGAAGAATTTTGGATTGACATCATTGCATATTACAGTGTGATACACTGATACTACAAAGCTACCATAGGAGGGTGGTGTAGAATATGTATAGAAGATAGAGCTAATTTCACTAGAACACCCGAATTATTAAAAAAATATCACTTCTATCCTCAAATATTTACTAGAAATTCTAGCATGAACGATTTTTCCGTTAAGGTTAAGTGATGATGATCGGGAGTATTTAACGGATGGACAAGTCATTGTTGATTTGTCTGCCACGTGGCTATTTGCAGACGAATGTTTTTTTCCTGATGTGTATTTACATGCATTAAACTGAAACCCAAATGAAATTGAATCAAATGAAGAATAAAATAAAAACAATCAAACTTAGCGTAAGTCAATCTTGTTTCACCTGATATCTCATTCACCTCTTCGAGATATAGAAATCCTTACACCAATAAAATCAAGACCCTTACCTGAAGTTGGTGATTTATTGATTCTCTTTTGGGGATTTTTCTAGAAATAGCGGCTTTTAAAAAAAATTACAAAAATAGTACCCAGTCCAAAGAAATTACAAAAATAGCACCCTTTTTTAAAAACCGCACCTCTAAGGTGCAGTTTATATGTAAACTGCACGCCCAAGGTGCGGTTTAAGATTCTAAGCCAAAACCGCATCTTGGCCATGCTGTTGTGGGTCTGACCTAACAGAACCGCATGGCCTAGGTGCGGTTCTTGGCTGACCTAGCAAAACCGCATCCCCAAAGTGCGGTTTTTTGCCTCACAAACCGCCCCCCCCCCCCCCCATGCGGTTTGTGTGTCGTAATTATTTTCCGACATCAAACATGTTGCCATGCAGGTTGACAGACGTGGGGCTGCATGGCAGATGAAAACCGCACCCTCCCCATGCGGTTTTCATTGATGATTTTGCCTATAAAAGACAGCCCGGGAAACCTTTTCTCTTCACACCTCTCCTTCTCCCTTTTCAATTTTCTGTTGTAGCTCCCTACTTCTTTAGTGTTTTCGCGGTTAACGTTAACTCGTAAGTTTATTTTGTAATACTTTTTATTGTGATTTGTGATGTTTATGATATTAACTGAACTACGGGTTTTTTTTTGCAGATGACATTCCAAAAGTTCACGCTTGGGTTACGGTGGAATGGTTACATCGGAAGAGACCAGAAAGGGGGTCACCTACGTCGGAGGCAATTTTCAGAAATTAAAGGTCGCTACCAGACTGATGCTTGAAGACCTCTATCAAATGTGTACTAACGTTACTTACATGGATGGCACGAGAAGAGTTGATCGTATGGTGTACCGATATCCAAACTGAGAAGGCGGGTCGTTGTGGTACGAGGAATATCTCATAAACACTCAGGATGAAGTAGATGCCATGCTCGAATTCTTGAGTTCCAACAATCTTTCCAAAGCCGAGATGTTCGTTTACACCGAGGCGGTCGTAGGCGTTGGAGGTCATTCTGGAGACGGTCAAACATCTGGTATCCATGGTGGAGGTGAATTATATGGAGATTATCCCTACCAAAGTTACCATGATCCTCATTCCTATTTTCAGTACCAAGAGCAAGGTGAAGGTCATCATCAATCTTTCCCGTCATATGAAGAAGAAGTTCAACCGTACCATGCCAACCAACCCTAGTACAACTTCCAATTAGGCTGCGGTAATTTTCACAACTACCATTATGGAGCTAATGAAGGTGCCTTTCATGAGCTGGATTAGATAGAAGATGCCCTGCCAGCACCAGTTAGTGACCCCTCCGATGAAGAAGGAGAGAACAACGTTAGTGCAGACAGCTCCGACCCTCTTGAAGGTGCTGATGATTCAGGACGAGAGTCAGACTCAGATAATGATGATGAGGTGGGTCATGACCGTGTACCAATCCCCAACTACAATCACATTCCATATGGCAATTGGATGGTCGACAGCGACATGGAAACCCCAGAGGTTCCAGTATGGGGTCCACTCACTGGTTTATGAAGGGCCAACAATTTGGCTCGAAGAAGGAGGTGTGGCACGCCATTGATACTGAAGCAATGACTCGGCATTTTGAATGGCACACAACTCATTCCAACACGAAAAAGGCTCATAGTCAGATGCCGTAATCATAACGAGGGATGCAATGTTAGGATTCGGGCCATCAACAGCAAGAGACACGGCCATTGGGTCATATCTCGTGTGGTGAACACCCACACATGTGTGTCATCCATAACATCCCAAGGCCATCGACATTTGAAATCCAGGGTGGTTGTTGCGGCTATCAAGCATCTAATTGAGTAAGATCCTGACCTGAAGGTGAAAGTCATAATCATTGACATTGCAAGTCGTCATGGTTATATGATTAACTATAAGAAGGCATGGCATGGAAAGCAGAAAGCTCTGGTCGCCGTATTTGGTGATTGGGAAGAATCATATGCATTCCTTCCTAGGTTGATTTTGGCATTGGAGGCGTCTAACCCTGGCACTGTTTTCTCTCCTCGATACCAAGATGAAGAGATACAACCCTCAGATCCAGGTAACAAACGCCATTTCAGACGAATTTTTTGGGCATTCAAGCCATCTATTGATGGTTTTGGCTTATGTGTTCCTGTGATCCAAGTGGATGGTACATTCCTTACCGGCAAGTACAGGGGCACTCTCCTGATTGCCAGTGGGGCGGATGCAAACAGGAAAGTCTTTCCTTTAGCCTTCGTCATTGTTGAGGGAGAGCATGCTGATAGTTATGGATGGTTTTTCCGGCAAATTCAGCTCTACGTCACTAGGAGGACGAACCTGACAATAATCTCTGATCGGCACGCCAGCATTAGAGCTGCCATCTTAGGTTTGGATCCAGCATGGAAGTGGTCCCAAAGGTGGTGCATACGACACTTCAAGAGCAACTAGAACTATCATTTCAAGCGAAAGAAGCTTGTTGATAATTTGTGGTGGATTGGTAAGCTCTCTATTGGTTGTTTAATTTTGTCAAATAACAATATCTTATATCAAATTCAATGGTACACTTGTTAGACTCTTTCTAAAGAGATGCATTAGTTATTTATGATATATTAGTAACCGTTTTTTCTTATAACTAAATTAATTAAAATTAAATGATTAATGATTTAATTTCGACCATAATTTTATTATAATTATATTATTAAAAATCAAATTTAAATAATTGATGGTTTTTTCCAAGATATATACATATTACCATAAAACAAACATACTCAATTAATTGACATAAATAACATTCTAAATGAATAATAATTTAAAGAGATACATAAATATTCAAACATTTTAAATTAATAAAATTCATTTTGTACACATAAACATAAATTTTATTGGTTGTTTGGTAAATAATTTAATCGTATTGGTTGGTGCGTGATGAGAAGTGGAAGGTCTCTAAGGAATGTAGTGGTTGGTGCAAATCTTACAAAGATTGAGCAAGGTGGATCTCGGCCACCAAGGACACAACCTTCATAGTAGAAGTCGTTTCTAGTGTTAAGATAGTTGTTTGTGTTGCGTCTTTGCACGTAGTAGTGGTCTTATGGTAGACACCCTTACGTATAGTTTTAGATGGGTACCCTTTTGTATGCCAGGTTATTTATTGGATGTCGTTAGCTCCATGAAAAGTTATGATTTTCCAAGCATTGGGTCTACCGTTTGGAGTAAGATATAAAATGGCGGCCTAGAAGTGAAGTTGTGTTGATGTTGTTTAATTATGAAGTTTTAAATTTACAATAAGCCCTTGTGTTTATGTTCTTCGGTACCCTAATGTTATTGTTGTTTCATTAGCTTGTTCCACATAAGTACCCTCATATTTGGCTCGACTCTAACTACACCATCCCAATCGAAGTCCAAGTTTAACTAACGATCGGGTGTAGTCGTTTAGATTAGGGTAAGTAATAAATAAAATTATCAAACCAGGGGTCTCTAGATGTATATTACTTCGGCTTAAGTTTCATTATCTAGTCAACCTAGAATAATGATTAAGAAATTAACCTAAATATACTAACCTAACTACTACCCTAGCTAATTATAATGTTTGGAGCTCTCTTAGCTTGAATCCCCCTAGTTCCATCATTTAGAAAAATGTTGCGTACCATCCTAGGTCGATTGACTCGATATCCCTACCGTTAGGAGATCGACTCTCTCGGGATGTAATGGTTTGGTTAGGTGTTTCATTCATCCCAGGTAACCCTATAGTGCTAGGAGAATGATAGAATAACTCACTCATAGGATTACCATGACGACATAGAATGAGGAGTGACACTAATTGCCAAGAATGGGCTAAAAGGGGATTTTTCTCCCTCCTAGGTCAAAAGCTCAATTGACATGAAATGAAATCCAAACTCATGTAATCCATAACAAACATCCATTAAATAGATAATATGAACAATCAAACATAGGATTTGTCACATACATAAACATCTAATCAAAATCTAGACCTGCAACTCCATTGAAGCAAGCTTTAACCTAATTTGTTCATTCTCTCTAAAAAAAAATCCATCAAATTAATGAGCTTCCTCGTCGTCAATAAGAGCATCAACCCTAAGGTATAATTGATTTGTTGATCCTGCCATATAGTAAGGACTAAGGAGTGTCATGGTAAGAGATCTACCAAAAGCTATAAATAAACTAACAATTGAGGCTTCTAATACCTTCCAATAGGGGTTGCGATAGAACTCACCCGGATTCTATTCAATTCTAGAAACATGAACCATAGTTGGTACCTTGTGCCGACACTTCACGATACGAGAGTTAGATGAATTAGATTCACAATTTCTTTGTCACCTCTTCTATCATACATGTTGAAATTGCTGACAGAACATCACCACGTAACACAAACACTAAAACAATAAAATACCTAAAACTAGAACCCTGTAATGAATGAGGGTTTAGTTGTAATAGGATTTAATTGGGGTATTAGTTTGTAATTAGGTGGTCATATAAAAGAGGGAGTAAGTTGTGTAAAGGAAAACTATCGAATAACAGAACCAATTTGCCTCTTCTCTTCTTCTTCCTCTCCTCTATTCGTTCTTCCTCCTCCCTATCATTATGCTTCCAATCTTTCCCTCTTCTTCTCTAAATCTCACTTTCTTCTTCTCTAATTCAATCTCAATCGCCGGGACAGATCCAGGATCATTACAAATTGGTATCAGAGCCTCTTCTCGGCACTGACGATGGGTATGTTTTCCATGGAAGAACGGTTCGTCGGTGGGGTTCATCGGCCGACGAATTGGGAGGATTGGGACGCTCGACTGGAGGAGCTAAGCCGGCAGAACAAAACAATCTTGGCGCATTTGACAACATTCGGCCACCGGAGTGAGGCTGCGGAGCATAGACGAACGAGAGCTGATGTCCACCTACAGCGCGTTCCACCTGTTCGACAAATTGCTGAGCCGGAATTTGCCTCAGGTATTCCTCTCTTCTCTGGTAATAATTCACGGGAATGGGTTAGGAAGTGCGCAAGGGTGTTCGCGAAGTATGGCATTCCGAAGGAACATCGAGTTATGATGGCGGCAAGTTACTTTGACCGCCATCCAGCGATATGGTTTGAGGGGTGGAAATCTTGCCGTAAGGAGCTGGTTTGGGGAGAGTTTGCAATTGCCCTGTGTAGTAGGTTTAGTGATTCGGAGTCAGGTGGAATTGTGGGTGAGTTCAAGAGGTTGCGACAAAGGGGATCTTTAATTGAATATCAGGAGAACTTTGAGGACTTGAAGTCCCATATGTTACGATATAACCCAGCATTAACAGAAGAGTTTTTCATCTCCACTTTCATCAGTGGGTTGCAGGAGGAATTGAGACCCATAGTTAAAATGTTGCAGCCCCAAACATTAGCTCAAGCTTATCATCAAGCTCAATTCGAAATGTGTTTGAGGAGTCTCAATGGAGATGTATCGACTGCCCTTATACCAGTCTCAGAAGAGAATGCTGAGAATGCTATCTTAGTTGTGGCAACGGGAAGTAGTAGTACATTTAGTGGGAAGATCATCTGTGCTGGTGCGGTGAAGCAGATTAATACCAACTTAATGGCTGCGACAGCCAATGGCAATGACTTTGAAGAGAATGGTACAGGGCATGATGAGTTGTTGGATCTCAGTGAAGAAGGTCTATGCCTCGCTGAAAGCTTAAGTAATGAAGCAGATGTTGATGAGGATGAGTACAGACAGAGAACATATTCTGAATCAGATAAAGAAGCCAAACCATTTTCTCTTTTGAGGGTGATGGGTGTAGAGAGAAATATATTGATTCACCCTGTTTCAGCCCCAGAGAGGAATACTGCGAATGGTGACTTAGTTGTTGATACTATAAGTATTACGGCCAGCAGCGAGGGCACTTTACTACAAGTCAAAGCAGGGTTAGGAGAGTCTTCTTGCATTCCATCAACAGTTTCTCTTCCTACTGCTGGTCAGACCGAGCACCACTGTGATCTTGAGAATGGTTTGGAACTGGACACCAGGGAAGGAACAATAGTAACTGAGTTTGCTGGGCTGGATAAAATTGTTATTGATGATGCCGAGTATAATAAAAGGAAGATGGTTAAGATCAAAGTTAACCATGAGCTGCAACTTCAGCTGGACTTTCCAGTACATGTAGATCTCAACACCGATTCGGTGCAGCCATCCCTAAAGCAATGCCAACTGCGAGAGCTAGTGTACGAGCAGTCAGTGAAGCCAACACAGTCTGTTAGGACCTCTTTTCCTACTTCGGCCATGGTTATTGTGAGTGAAATTATTGGTATTATCGAACCTCAGGCTGTTGATGTGGTGGAGGATTCAGCCTTGAGTGGTGTTCCACCTAGAGTGGTGAAGATTCGGTTGTGTTTTCAGCAACATCAATTAGTTCATAGTGATGTTTATGACTTGGGGTCTATGATGAATACCCAAGATGTTGATGGCATTAAATTTGTCATTGGAGCATCATTTCCTAACAGGTCTGACTTTGTTTTCAGGAATCATAATGGGATTTTGGTTATTGGTGAAGGAGATTGTGTTGTACCAAAAGTTCAATGGTATTGGTGGCCTAGAGTAAAACTGGAAAGAAGGGTTGTTTGCTTCAACTTCATGGAACCATACAAGGATGATTTGGCAAGGGAAGTTGGAGGAAGGAAGATACCCACAGTAGGGGTGGGCTGACCCAACATGTCTTCAACTCCAAGTCTCAAGCCTTTGAGAAGCATACTGCTGCTACCTGCAAGTGTCCTGTTGTTGCAACTCATTTTGTTTTGTTTTCCTTACCTTGTTTAGCTCATTTCCTTGTTATTTTAGTGATGGATTTGGTATTCAGACTTGAGGACAAGTCTGTCCTCAAGAGGTCGGGATTGTAATGAATGAGGGTTTAGTTGTAATAGGATTTAATTGGGGTATTAGTTTGTAATTAGGTGGTCATATAAAAGAGGGAGTAAGTTGTGTAAAGGAAAACTATCGAATAACAGAACCAATTTGCCTCTTCTCTTCTTCTTCCTCTCCTCTGTTCGTTCTTCCTCCTCCCTATCATTCTGCTTCCAATCTTTCCTTCTTCTTCTCTAAATCTCACTTTCTTCTTCTCTAATTCAATCTCAATCGCCGGGACAGATCCAGGATCATTACAAATTTACAAACCCCAATTGAATTGAAACCTAATTGTTACAACATATATACCTCGAAGAAGATGAGAATTAAAGTTGCAGTATAGGATGACCGCCTCTTTCAGAGATGCAAATGGCATTGTTTCTCATCTCCGAATGAATAACACTCGTCCAACCATGCCGAGGAAACTATCATCATCGTTCCTCATTGCCGCAACTACCTCCTTCGCTCCTCACCGACAGAACAACCATCGTCGCTGCTTGGTGAAGACACCACGACGATGACATGTCCTCCTCATTGTAGAGTGGTTTCATCTAAACAATTTCATTATTTCAAAAGAAATTTAATTTAAAAATAATCTGATATGTCTGTCGACATGGCGTCAACGTGTTCGCCATTTCTCTACCACGTCACAATTAGTCAACGTCATTTTGAATACCATGTGGTCAATCGTTATCGCCTATGATCAACGAAAACATCAAGATACAAATGTCACTGAATTCATATTATTCGTGATACGATTATCATATTGAATACTTGAGGGAAAAAATTCATTTTTATAGTTATGGTGTTCTAGTAGAATTAGTCATAAATGATAAAATAAGAAAATAGAGTGCGAAAGCGAAAAAGAGCACAAGGACTAAGAATTGTGTGGTACCATGCTAGAAATGAGCGTCGTCTCATTTGCGTCTCATTTGCTCTCTAGAGTGAGAGTATATAGGTCGAAATGGGTGTCTCATTTGCGAATTGTATACCTGTTTCATGTAACTACGTAATCTATTACTTCATTTTAACTAGTCCTGGACTACTCTAATAAGTTGCACACATCGATCTAGCTAGGAAATATATTCTTAAAAAGAGTTTGTACATTATAACACTTTTCTACTGAGAGATGGATTGAAAGAGCACGGAGCTAGGTGTGCGATTGAGGATCGTGATTGGTATGAGAATTAGGGATTTGGGGTGAGGTAGAATTTGGAAATTAGGGTTGAAAGAAGAGGAATCCGGTCACCTGGGTGGTGGCCGACGAGTTGGAGAGGGAAGAGGGGAGTTCGGCAATGAGAGAGGGAGAGAGAGAGCTTTAGGGAATAATTTTGTTGTTATTGCTTAACCCTAACTTAGGCCTAACACAAAATATATATAATCCGACTAATTCCCTATAGATACCCAAAGACTTAACCTAACCGATTTAACCCCAAATAATCCCGAAATAGCCAACATAACATAAAACATCTAAATAACAAATAAACCGCCAATTAATAATCGTCTGACACTCCATCCCCCTTGAAACCCACATTGCCCTCAAGGTGGACCTTCTTTCTTCTCCTTCTTCTTCTCTTCCGCTTCTCGCTCCTCCATTTCCTCTCCATCTTCCCAGTTCCCGACCAGCAGCATTAGATGACCCTTGGTGCATTGATGCCCTACCGTGTACCTCTCGTCGTAGTTGAAGCAACGACCGTCTCTGTGCTTCTGGTTCATTTCCGCCTGAGTCAGCCGGACAAACCCCTTCGGTGGAAGCCTTGACTGGAACCTGTTTCCCGATGCTGCTCCAGTGGCTGCCGGGCTTGCATTTCCCGATGGTGGTGAGGTACCAGCTCCTGTTCCCATTCCTCCACTAGCTTTCTAGATACGCCCAGTCGACGTCCTCCAACTAGCTAACTCCTCTTCCTTGCGCCCTGCAATCCTGAAAGCAACTCGAAGAGAATCAGGTTCAAAATCCTTAACGACGGTGGCCAGCTTAGGACGAAGCCCCGCCATGCACTGCCCCACCAGGGTCTCCTCTTTCATTTCCTTGCACTGGTTTCCCAGCTTAAGGAACTCCGCGCGATACTCGTCCACCGACCCTGTCTGTCTGAGCTTGGCCAGTTGTTCCGGAGCCCAACCCTCTGCCTTGCCAAACTGGTAGCGCAGCTCATCCTGGAACCTGGGCCATGTTATGATCTCACCGGCCGCTGCATAAGCTCGCTCGGTCCATTCCCACCACTGGAGGGCATCTCCCTCGAGATAGAAGGACGCCAGGTGAGCCTTCCGTTCTTCTCGGATTGGGTGGTTCCTAAACCACCTCTCAGCTGCATACAACCACAAACCCACATCTCCCGAGCCGTCAAACTTGGGAAGCTCTATCACTGGCGGTTTAGCTCTAAATACCAATTCCTCTTCAGTCTCATATAGAGGGTTACTATATTCATACCTGCTTGTGTTCGGTGGGGGTGGTCGATTCGTCGGGACCGGATGGTAGTAGCTGCCCGCGGCCCACTGCTGGGGAGGATAGGGCCAGTCTCCTGCCACCTCATGATTGTTCCTGCCGTATCCGGGCTTGGTCCCCGACCCCTGCCCAATATCTCGATATCCTCGACCTCGACCTCCCGTTCCTCGCGGCGTACTCCACGGGGGGTACCCGTACTCCTGGCCCCTGCCGAGACCCTTGCCCAGCCCGCTCCAGCTACTGCCCATCGGTGGTTGACCCGACCTGACCCGGTTTGGTTCGGTTCTGCTCGGTTCCGACCGGCTGGCCGCCCACTGACTTGCCCGGTTCGGGCCGATTGCGGGTCCACCATCCCGCCCCCTCGGCCCTCTTCTGGGCTCGGGTCCACCCAGCCCTCCGGGTCGCCGAAACTCCACCCCTCCTCTTCCCCGGGCCCAATCGGCCAGGGTTCTTTTCCGTTGGGCCCAGTCGGCCACGACTCTCCTTCGTACCCCGTCATCTTCTGCTTCCCACGGGTCTTGTCATGGGTCGGATCCGTCGGCGTCGGAAGCAACCCAGGGCCACTAAATGCAGGCGCGGGTGCGCTCCTCGCGCCCAAAGTTCCTGGCTCCCCGGCTCGGCTAAGCTGCACGGCCGAGCTACCCGGCGCTCCGCCCGCCGCGGCCAGGGCCCGTGTCGCCCCCGCCTCTTCACCACCAGCCGGCGGGTTCACCTCGGCTGCCTCCTCGTCCCAGCGCGCCACCGCCCCGGTCCGACCAGCGCCCGCCATCGCGCGACCCTTCCACCGCTGCCCTCCTAAGCCGCCAAGCCCACCGCGGCTGCTGCAGCCGTCGCTACCCCCACCACGATTGTTGTCGTCGGCGCCGTCCCCATGGACGGGATTGCCAACCGCTCCCGACTCTTCAGAACTTGGGTTAGCACCTCCTGCATCGTCGCTGCCAGGGCTCCGCAGATGTTATCAGCCACACTCTTGCCCATCTCTTCAATAGAAGCCTTGATTTGGTCGCCCATGGCCTCAATTGCTCCGATCGAGCCCTTAGAGGCCTCGGCTGCCCTCACAGTCACCTCTGTCAAGCTCTCCAACGATGCTGCCAGCGCATCGTACTTGCTCGTCGTCACATCCTTGACTGTCACCACCTCCTTGAGCTGGCGTGGCGGTTGTTGCTTGTCCGCAGGGTTTGACATCTTCAGACTACAGTATTTCTTCAGAGAATCGGCACACTAGCCAGGCTCTGATACCACTGAAAGAGCACGGATCTAAGTGTGTGATTGAGGATCGTGATTGGTATGATAATTAGGGATTTGGGGTGAGGTAGAATTTGGGAATTAGGGTTGAGAGAAGAGGAATCCGGTCACGTGGGTGGTGGCTGACGGGTTGGAGAGGGAAGAGGGGGGTTCGGCAATGAGAGAGGGAGAGAGAGAGCTTTAGGGAATAATTCTGTTGTTATTGCTTAACCCTAACTTAGGCCTAACACAAAATATACATAATCCGACTAATTCCCTATAGATACCCAAAAACTTAACCTAACCGATTTAACCCCAAATAATCCCGAAATAGCCAACATAACATAAAACGTCTAAATAGCAAATAAACCCCAATTAATAATCGTCTTAGTAACCCAGTTCAACCATATTGGGAATCAATCTAACAAATTACCACATATATACAACATTTCAAATATTCTCTTTTTGTTTGCACAAGTGTCGAAGTCTGGTGACCAAAATCACCATTAACCCAATAGTATCTACATTCTACAACCCCATTCTCACTTTAAGTTGCCTTAATTTGCATGGGCTCCATCCCATGTGTTCATTTGACTCTTCCCCTTAATTTCCCTCAACCTTCCCACCCATTCCTCTCTCTCTCTCTCTCTCTCGCTTTTTTCGTTTTGGGCCGGCCAGGTTAATGTATTCCTTGATTATATAATAATCAGCTTGTTTTTCTGGACCTAACCTAAACCCACAAGAAAACCAGAGAACAACTTAAGAATAATAGGAGGAAGAGGCTCACTCACATCACATGAAGGCTGACACCACGCACAACCCCTTGTCACGTGCCTCTTACAATTTGTCTTTGTCCCCACCCATCCCATCCCATGCATCTTCCTCCTTCACGCTCCTGTAGGTTGGCAAACAGCACGAGGATGGGGAAAGAAGAAGAAAAACAGAATCTAAGGCGGCTATGTAACTTTTCTTTGAACTAGTTGGATCACTTGAAGAAGATACTTTGTAGTGTAAGGATGCATGTGTCTTGTGTAAAGAGTTAACGTTATGATCTTATCAGGTTCCGGGTAAAAAAATTGCGTTCTAATAATCTAGACCAAATGAAAAATACGTAATATGATCGAAACACGCAAACTACTAGAGGTAATACGAAAATGCATCACATGTTTGTTACAAACACTTGGATCACTAATCTTTTACATTAGAGAAAAACAAAAACAAAGAAACCTTATCCAACAATTTTACCGAAGGGAATATATATGGGCAGGTGCAGTAACAGTAATAATAAATATTATTGTTGACCCTAGCTCTTAGGGTTAGGGATTAGTGCCCCACTAATGACTCCGGTTCTTCTGACACTGCCCCTTCTTAAAATAAACTTCCCTCTAATTAAGTTAACCATGATCATTTGTCAGTTCTGTCCTCCACCCCTCTTCATGAGCAGGGCATCTTTCTATATACTTTTGCGACAACTATACAACAGGTAAGTGTGGAAAAAAAGAGTAAAGTCCTAATTTCTACTCTTATTATTCTTGATAAACTCACCTTACTTTTCTTGTTTTACCAATCATGTACAATCAAGCATGCCAACTAAGTAGATAGGTTATAAGTGGAATACTTATCTAACATTGAATTGTTTGTGTGTTTTCTATTAGGGTTTTCACTTTGAGCATAGCCATCCTTGAAGGAGAGTTAACTAAAAACAACCATTTTATGAAAAAGGGATTGTTTAGATGAGAAATTAAGCGTAGAGGATCATAGTGCACTACTGAGGTTAGATTATACCGTGACAGAATTACATTATGATAAGAGAGGCCAACTTCCAATATAAAGTAAAAATACCTGTAAAATTTGTAAATTTTTTGGAAAATAATACAATAAGTAATGGATTCCTTCCCACTAACTTTGATAAATGTTTTCTTTGTTACACTTGTGAAGAAGGCTGGTTAGTTTTCACATTGCAACCAACAACTCTCCACAAGGGAATTAAAAAGAGAAGGGGCATGGTTGCTGGTAAATGAATTAATAAGTTAATTAACAAAATCAAAGCATACAGCTAGCGTATAAACCATCGATAATCGAGTCCAAATTGTTAATGGGGCTGTGGTTAATAAAGTCAAATGGCCACCCGAAATTGATCTCTAGCTAATTACATGGCTAAGAAATGGAAAAAGGTAAAAGGTGGATGATGAGATGATAGCCGTTGGATGGAGGGAGTCTAGCTGTAATCGTCGTGCATAAACGTGGAAGGGGAAAGGAATATTATCGCAGGTAATGATAGGCCAAATTGGGAGAGTAGAAACTACAAAGTACAAACTCCCTCCCTAGATTAATTAAATTTTTAAAAATTAACAATCATTAGCAGAGAGGAAATTTAAACTAATGGAGCAAGTGCACATTTCCCAAGAGGTGAAAAATTATGTTTATGGTGAAATCTCAAGGAGGGTCATCAAGTTTGAATTAGACAACCATTTGATACCTGGATGTTTATAACGAAAACTCGAAAATAACGAAATCGAGATTGTAAATAACGAAAACTCGAAATTAACGGCTAACAAGGATAATCAAAGTCAGACTCCATCATCAAACCGAATTCAATCCACCTAAAATGATATGATCGGATAGAATTTTTATAGTGAGAGACGAGAGCGAGAGTATATTAAAACTCACATTTTAATATTGAGATGTAAATTAGATTTTGTGAAGCTCTGAACAAATTAACTCAAATTGACGAAGTAAAGCTTCTATCTAGAAAATCTAAGTTTCAATTTATCCTCCACTCATTGATCGATTCCGTACAAACTCTCCTCCTTCATGGTTCAACACCTTTGATATTTTGTTTTTTGGTTATCGTAATTACAAGAGATTTATTGAGTTGGCGATAAGGTCATTTAGACCAACCAAGATGAAGTTGTAATTAGGTGTTTGTTTCTCTCTATTTTTATGGAATGGGGAATAGTTTTATGTGATAGTTCCTTATCATGGTAGTTGCTACTAAATCTAAGATTCAAGCATAAATAAGACTTATAATTCTATAATTTCTTACCGTTATATTTAGCGTGCTTGTTATTCAAGCCTAGATGTTACAGTTCCCATAAAAACGATCGAATTCAAGCTCATCAATCAGTTTACGTATACGATATTGAAGACCCGTAAACAGACATAACATCGAGTTCTTTTTTCCTGTTATCGAGAATGGAATTGTTCAGTTTCAAAGTTAGAGGACTAGATTTGTCAACGGGCCAAACCCCAAACCGCCCCGCACATCACACCCCAAAATTTAGAGGAAATAAAGAAATAAAATGGAGCAGAGGAAGCCGGCTGTAAACTTGGGAGGAAACGGAGAATCACAGAGACAAAAACCTGCAAGCGATCATTTCTTTTATTGCATTTTCCCGGTGGGTTTGAGTACAGAACATGATCGACGAAGAAGAAGACAGTAAGCAAGCAAGTAAGAGCACTGGGCTGGGCTGGGAGATGATTATTTTAAGAGCCTTACCCATGAGTGATGAGATGAATTCTGGAGTTATTCTGCTTTAACTAATAGCTCAATTATTGAACAGCAAGAATGTACTACCTAGTTTGCTACCGGTAATAATAATAATAATAATAATAATAATAATAATAATAATAATAATAATAATAATAATAATAATAATAATAATAATAATAATAATAATAATAATAATAATAATAATTTCACTTCACATTTTTGTAAGAGAAGGACCGAAGGAGTTGAAGTTAAAGAAGTCTTGGTCTGGGCAGCACCGGAAATACATGTAAAGTTTAGGGATGACAGTTTTATCCCAATCCATCGGTATTTTTATTTATCCAATACAAATGGATAAAGTCTTGGTCTTGCCTATAACCATTAATTTGTGTTGGTTTGAGTTTTTAATTCATGGATTTGGGTTTGTACTCGCTCCATATAAAAATTACAATTTGATACAAAATTTTGTAGATCTTTAAATTCAGTGTCTAAATCTTTTTTAGTTTTTTTTTCTTCATATAAGCCTTAAAAAATTATCGATGGAAAATATTCAGAAGGCTAGTATACAAATGAAAAATATACGCTGTGAGCTAGTTTAATGATCTTGTCCATAGTAAATAATCAAAAGAATATTTTCTCAAAAATATAAATATTTGTAGTCCATGAAAAATATATAAGTACGAAATAAACTATTGCATGAACTGAGCCACAAGTGAAAACTCTAGCTGAAATTGTAATCCAATATGACCTCAAAATCATAACAGAAAGGAAGCTATCTAGCCAACCAATATGCATGGTGGCTCACATATGTGCTTTCATTGTTTGTAGCATAGAAGTAAAAGGAAACATCATTACAAGTTTATTTATTTTTTTGGTTCCTTTCCCTGGTAATTTGTTTTTTTAACTTTTGTCATCAATTTACCTATGTGAAGGGTTTGAAGGAAGGGAAGAGAGAGGTCAGAGGAGAAGAAGGCATTGAAAGAGGACATGTTCATGTGCGGTGACCTAGCTGGTGTTACCCTTTTAAGTGACAGCCTTCCCCTCCCCTCTTGTTT